CATGGTTTCAGTGAAAGAAAGAAAAGAAACAAACAAAAAAGTGTTTAACATCTCCTGCCAATACCTCAGAAATAATGGACTATTCCGTTTTGATAGCGTGGTGAGACAAAAGACTTATAAGGGACGCTACTTGGTTTCAGTGAAAGAAAGAAAGGAAACAGAAAGAAAGAAACAAGCGTTTAACATCTGCCAATACCTCATAAATAATGGACTAAACAAAAGACTTATCAAAGACGCTACTTGGTTTCAGTGAGAAAATGAAAGAAAGAAGGGAAATAGAAATGAAATGGGAAAAGTTATCAATTTCAAATCTTTTCATTTGTACCCACTTCTTGAAATAATGATCAGCATTCATATCTATAATTGTTATTGCAATATTTTGTTAAAGTTGTTATGCTCAAATATTTAATGATACGATAGGGGGTTTCTACGGGCATTTTATTGTCGTAGAACTTGCCATGCGCTTTATTCAATTATTAACTGAAAAATTAAGATTCATCCGAAATTTCAAATAGGAAAACCGTGAAATTTTCTCGGGCTAAAACTAGTCATTAATAAAATCGTTTTCGTCTATCATACATCGACTTTATGAATTTAAGCGCAGAACTAGATTGCCTGCTAGGTCTCATTGTTTTACAATTGAAATGGCTAGATGTAACCGCAAGTTCTATGCTTACATTTTCTTCCCTCCGCACTTCTCGCTTATGGAACTCTTTTCCAGTCTCTTGCTTTCCAGTCAACATTGATCTCCAAAAATATAAATGCAATGTCAATCGTTATATTGTTTCTTCTCACTCCCAGTTCTTTTAATGTTCTTTCTCTTTAATAATGTTTTATGTTTCTTATATTCTCTCACACTCAGTACACCCCCCCCCTTGCGTCTTAGTGGCTTTATTGCCTTCTTCGGGGTAAAATGATTTAAAAAAATGACAATGAATAAGGGACAATTTCCTCACAGCTGCCACGTACTCTCCCTGTACTTTTTCTATAAATATTTTAATGATAATTGTTCTGATGAGCATTCCTCTTTAGAGCTTCGACTTTCGGAAGCGCAGTACTAGATTGCCAGTGAGGTCTCATCATTTTACAGTTGAAATACCTAGATGTAACTAGATGTCTGTCTTCTTACTCCCTGATCTTTTATTGTTCTCTCTCTTTAATGTTTTCTGTCTCGTATTCTATCACATTCAGTAACCCTTTGCGTCTTAGTGACTTTACTGCCTTGATTAGGGTGAAATGATTAAAACAAAAGTGTTACTTAAGGAATGGTGGACAATGTTTAATGTGAAATTTGGTCAGATTACATCATGACCGGTTTTTATGTTTATCTATGCCATTTGTAACTTCTCATTATATTTTTCTGGGAACATCTATGAAGGGGAGGGAAGGCTGGCTTTGTGCGCATGTGTAATCACATCAACGTAAACATCACTTTAGTCTGATGAAGTCCTATAGGAAGAAACTCGTAACATGAAAAAAAGTCGTGGTTTTGTTAAAATTTTTCTTGATATATAAAAATGTAGATATTGTTTTCCCGTTATTCTGAGTATTTCTTATTGTGTCTTTATCATTAAATAAAGCAACCAAAAAATCCTTCACAATCAGGAAACTGATCGATAGAATTTGAAGGCAATCATCAGAAACGCTGTCGTTGATTTTAAGCAAAAAAATAAAAAACGTTTATAATTGTTTTGTTTTTCTTTTTTGTTTTGTTTTTGTTGTTTTAAATGTCATGATTTTTTTTTTGTTCCCTCCTCAGGTTGTCAAGTCAGGAAAGTTTTGTGTGACATTTGTAAAGCAATTCAAGCGAATACATAGATTTGTTTACGAACTGAATTCAAGTATTTTTAAAAGTCAACCAAGAAAAATATAATCTTTTATATAAAGAAGTTTTTATGTCTGTCTGTCTGTGTGTATGTATGTATGTATGTATGTATGTATGTGTGCGCGCGTGAGCGCTTGCGTCAGTAATATCAAAAGATATATTGTACTGGAATTTGACGCGCGCAGGTTTTATGTTCCCCGGAGTGCGTTAAGCAGAAACAAAATGGCGCTAAATTGTTACCGACAAAAATAAGCGCCGTGAAAATCTGACAAATAAATAGTTATCACAAATAAATAGTTATCACATCTGCAGTCGTAATTACCTGCCCTTTATTTTAACTTGCTATGAGCATCTTTTTGCACGGCGATCAGATTGTTATCTTATTCTATAAACCGCGTCCCTTCAAGACACGGGCGATCGTGGTTAGCCTGCATGTCTCGCAAGATCAGTTACGACTGAGTAGTGAGTTCGATCCTTACTTTCGGCCCTGTGCCATGCCTAAGTTCTGCTTAGTTAATCGATATTGTACGAACACCGACACCATTCAAGTGTACGTTATAGGAATAAGATCGAATCAAACTATAAGCAAGATAACTATCAAATCATATAACACACAGGATAATACAGCCTATATTGTGCCGCGTCATCGTCAGGAAATAAGCCGTAAGTTCTATGCTAACAGTTTCTTCTCTCATACTTCTCGCTTGTGAAGCTCCCTTCCGGCTCCATGCGTTCCACCCAGTTTTAATCTGCAAAAATTTAAATGCAATGTCAATCGCTATCTGCTGTCCACCTGATTGCTCTTTTCTCTTTCCGTTCATTATTAATGTTTCTGTTCCTAATTCTTCCACGTCCTGTAACTCCTTGTGTTTTACTGGCATTACTACCTTGCTTCCGATTTAAAAAGAAACCAAAAAGCATCGCAGCAGTGATAGCCAAACTGAGCAAGGGATTATGGAACGTTACTCACTTAATACAAATTTGATCAACATAAAAAATAAACTCATTTGATACTGAACCTAATATAAATTTGGTACAACATAAAAAATAAGCTCGCTTCATCCTGAACTTAAGAAAAATTTGATTCAACATAAAAAAAATAAGCTCACTTGAAACTGAACCTAAAACAATTTTGATCAACATAAAAAATAATCACACTTGATACTGAATATGATGCAAATTTGATCCAACATAAAAAATGAGCTCACTTGATACAGAATCTCATGCAAGTTTGATCAACATAAAAAATGAGCTCACTTGATACTGAACTTAATACAAGTTTGATCAACATAAAAAATGAGCTCGCTTGATACTGAACCTAATGCAAGTTTGATCAACATAAAAATAAGCTCACTTGATACTGAACCTAATACAAATTTTATCAACATAAAAAATGAGCTCACTTGATACTGAACCTAATGCAAGTTTGATTCAACATAAAAAATAATCACACTTGATACTGAACTTAATGCAAGTTTGATCCAACATAAAAAATAATCACACTTGATACTGAATATAATGCAAGTTTGATCCAACATAAAAAATGAGCTCACTTGATACCGAACATAATGCAGGTTTGATCAACAAAAAAATAAGCTCACTTGATACTGAACCTAATAGAAATTTGATCAACATAAAAAATAAGCTCGCTTGATACTGAACCTAATGCAAGTTTGATCCAATATAAAAAAAAATAAGCTCACTTGATACTGGACACCGATTCGCGAGGTTAAGTCCGAAGTGTTCACTTATCAAAGCTGCATCGAAATTGTTCAAGATCTTCGAGAAAATTCTTTATTGCAAACTGAGTGGCACACGCAGTTTATTTTTGCAATTTTCGGTGTTTCTTATGTATTTTTGCAAGATCTGGATGTCTTAGACTTTTCTCTTGATCTCTCAAATCAGCCTTGTGATCCCATTTATAAAGACTCAAATTCGCAACTTGCCTATCAATTTCAGGCATTGAAATTCAAGAGAATTTATACAAACGCTGGATTTTTGTTTACATCTGCGCAGAAGGAAACGACTTTCGTCCTAATTGCGCAAATAGACGTTTCTATCATTCAGATAATAACCCTTTAGATTTCAATAGCTGTTTATTTTATATATCAATAAACCATGGAGTTGCTACAAACACAGAGACACGGTGCATATATGTTGAAATATTTTCGCAAAGAAATGCTGTAGTTTCGACTTTTGCATCAGTATAAGAAATCGAACTTGGCATTGGTTGATGAAGCATTTCTCTTTTTAACACGTGATGATTTGTGGATAAAATAAGTGCAAAGACATCAGAGTGAGTTGACGGCGGTGTAAAAAGAAAGAAAGGAGTTTGAAGAGAAAGGACGTGAAAGAGTGAACAGTGATTAGAGAGGAGGGAGTGTGTGAAAAGTTGAAAATGATCACGGTGCCGCTAACAATGGGGGTGATGAAAGAGAAAAACTAATGAGAGAGAAAGAGAGAGAGAGAGTTACAACAACAAAAAAAGCGCTAAGAAAAAAAAAGACAGATGTGGAGGAAAATGTGGGGGTGCATAAAACTAAAATATACATATAAAATATGGGACACGGTGGAATTGGAGGAGGAGGAGGAGGAGGAGGAGTATAAGCAGGAAACAAAGAGGTGGAAGAAAGGAAGTAACAGGTAAGGGAATGGGTGAAAAATGATAGGGTTGAATGAGCAAGAGTCACGTTGGGTGTTCGGGGATAGGGATGAGAGATGAGAGACGAGGGGGTATTTAGTACAATCCAATCAAGCGTAATTTCTATATGAAAAAAAAAATAGACATACCTGTAAAAGAAAAAAAGAAAAAAAAAATACGCCTACCATTTTTTCCTTTCGCTTCTTTCATTAAAAACGCCGGTTCTCGTTCGATCACCGAACGTAAGCAGCGTCAAACCCGATTGATTGATTGATTCGTTCTCTACGGTTTATCGACCCTTTGCAGCTTTAGCCAGAAAATAGTTTTAGATTGTCAGAATTTTTTTTCTTTTAGATAATAATGTTTAGTGATGCAAGTCTTACTAATTAACCCATAGCTGAAGGGAGAAGAGGTGGATTCATAACTTTCCAAAGAGTAAGTGAACATAATAAAAACAACGGGTATTGGAACTCGGCTTTCCGCTTAACAATTCTGATTACAATCCATTATACTATCGTCACATCCAAGTTTAATGCACCTGGTATTCCCAAGCGGTCACCCATCTAGCTACTGACCAGGCTCGACGTTGCTTAACATCGCTGATTGTACGGCAACTGGTGTTTATATCACTATGTAGCCATAAACCTAGCGCCTAGTCCGAATGTAAATAATGATAACACCTCATCCCAGAAATTCGGACAGAAGGCGATCAGGTGAGAATAACAACAAAGATGAGGACATTAGTCCGAATGTAAATACAATGTAACCCGGATATAAGAGAGTTGTCGGGACCGGAGAAGAAGTCTCTTATATCCGGGTTTCTCTTATATCTGGGTTTGGTCTATTTTGTTTAGGTAAGTATGGGAACACTTTGGGACCAGAGAAAATCTCTCTTATATCCGGGTTTCTCTTATATCCGGGTCTCTTATATCCGGGTTACACTGTAATGATAACACCTCATCCCAGAAATTCGGACAGAAGGCGATCAGGTGAGAATAACAACAAAGATGAGGACATTAGTCCGAATGTGAATACAGTGTAACCCGGATATAAGAGAGTTGTCGGGACCGGAGAAGAAGTCTCTTATATCCGGGTTTCTCTTATATCTGGGTTTGGTCTATTTTGTTTAGGTAAGTATGGGAACACTTTGGGACCAGAGAAAATCTCTCTTATATCCGGGTTTCTCTTATATCCGGGTTACACTGTAATGATAACTCCTCATCCCAGAAATTCGGACAGAAGGCGATCAGGTGAGAATAACAACAAAGATGAGGACATTAGTTCGAATGTAAATAATGATCACTCCTCATCCCAGAAATTCAGACAGGAACAATAAGGAAATTTAGAAATATTAATTAATATGATTTTATCACCGATTTTTTTTATATCAAACGCTGAGTCTGATTTTCTAAATCATGGAAACGCTTTTCTCAGAAGAAATATTGAAATCGGTTTAGTTAAGACAACTTTCTTTGGATTATTTCAATTTTTCTCTTCGTTTTGCATTCGGATAATCATAGTCCAGAAACTCGAGGAAATACTGTAATTACTTATGTAAAGAAAAGAGACGGTGTGTGTGAATGTGTGCCTGTGGCTGTGGGGGTGACAGAGAGAGAGAGAGAGAGACGGTGTGTCTCTGTCTGTCCACACTTTACAGGATTAACTGAACTGAAATCTGACACACGTGTATATTAGACAAATAACAGAACCGCACTAAATTATGCACAAAAATAGGCTCTTATGACTTATATCTGATGAATAAATTGTTATCATTGCTAGAACAATCGAGAGTACTTGTCCTTTATTTTAACTTACTATGACTATTTTTGCACGGTAACCTGATTGTCATACATATCGTAATATTTTAGAAAGTTTTTTTTTTTTATTAACCCCCCAGTTTTTTTAAACGATATTTTTTATGGATACTCGTATCTGAATAGACGCTCTGTTTATTTATTTAAAAAAATATTTTTTCGTCTGCCGGCCTGAATATTGAAAAAATCTTATTAAAGCAAAATTTGCTATCTCCGGCAGAATTTGAACCTGCGTCCTTCTGGGTAGAGGCAGCTACCATTAAGCCCGGCACAGTTCAGTTTACGTTTGGATACGAAACTGTGCCGATATGAAAAACTTCAAGGTCTATGACGAGAGAAATTTCGCTTAAAGTCAGAAACATATGGCCCCGCCTGACCGACTGCTCTTCGTGGCCAAGTTGGTTAAAGCGTTAAAAATTATCTAACACGGCACAGTGAACCAACTTTCCTAACAGCAGACTTAACAATTGATTCAATATAACATTTCCACTTCATATCAGCGGAAAGCGTAATCCCAAGAAGATGCAATGAATCACTCCCCTGGAGTGCTGATAAAAGGCAAAAAAAAAGAAAAAGTTTCACTAAGTCGAGAGCAGTTTCGTTTTGGCGCTGTTAAAATTAACACGCCATTTCTTGCCCCAGTTAACAACAGCGTAAAACGTTAGCTCAAGGAATCACTCCAGCCGCCAAATTAATAAGGGACACCCGTTGAAGATCGAACTCACTTAAGTCTTCTTTTCTTCTATGTGCCGTGTCCTTTCAGAACGTGGGCGATCATGGCTCTCCACAATTTCCACTTCTTTCTAGCTCTTCGTAAAGTTTGTCTTTTTGTTATATCTTCTAATCCCTGCCCTGCCAAATATTTACACAAGCTCTCTGGGTAGGTTATGCGCTGTTTGTCTTTGTCCTCGTGCGTGTCAAATTCTCCAAGCCTTCTTTCTTCATTATGTGCTCTATAAACTTGCAACTATCTTTTTTCCCATTGTCATTTATCTCGTGTCATTTATAATTGCCTAAATCTTACTTCGTCTGTGTCCAAATATTCAGTCTAAAGAAGGATGCTGACAATACCATAGACTCGCTTGTTAACCATTTCTCTACAGCTAGGTGACTTTTTTTTTCAAAGAGCGCATCAAATATGTGGGTACCTTAATTACTGTCGACGAACTGAATTCAGATTCTATTTTGCCTTTACTTTCGCACCTTGGAAAAGGCATTGACCTCTTCTTCTTACCTTCTCCAATAATCAGTTAAATATCAAAGTATACTATGCCCTCTAGCCTTGGTTGGCAGCCTGTCTAGGAAAAGGATAGCCTGAATTCAAAACCGACTTACTACTTAAACCTCAGAAGCAGTAACTAGTATGATTTTACCGTGTCTCTACACTTCACTGGGGGAGTTTACATGTGGTATATATATATATATATATATATATGTGTGTGTGTGTGTGTGTGTGTGTAAAAGACAATAGGAAAACTGTAATATTAGCCGACGCGTTTCGTCCAATGTAGACTTTTTCAAAGCAAAACGAAATTAATTTATTAAACAATGGAACTAATAATAACAAAACAAAATGCCCTTAGCAACTAAAAAAATTTAGAGAACGCTTTTATATTCATACTGTTAACTGAAAATTGCGTCAAGTACTGTCACATGTGAAGATATTGTTTTTTTTTTTTTTTTTGTTGTGTTGACGGATTCAACCATTTTCTTTTATTTATTTTTCTATTATTTGCGTCGGCTAATATTACAGTTTTTCCTATTGTCTTTTACATTTATAAATATTGTCTTTCTCTACAGGTTAACTCTGAGAAGTTTTTCATATGCATATATATATATATATATATATATATATATATATATATAAACACACACAAGTCAACACTCAGAGGCGACAGGCTGTTTCGTGTTGGACGCATACGCCAGCATGAAATAGCCTGTCGCCTCTGAGTGTTGACTTCAGTGTTCACTCACTTTTTTATATTTACATTTACATACGCTCTATCTCTTATATTGAGCACTTTATCCCATAAATATAGCACACCATAAAACTATATTTCTTCATATATATATATATATATATATATATATAATATGAAAATATATAGAAAATAGGAAGGAACTGGTTAGGTAAATAATCCAAAGTCCCTTAGTATTTTAGTTATTATTTTTAAAAAATAGTGCTCGATACAAAAGTAGAGCATAAATATAATTATTTATTTAAAAATATGATTCCAAATTGCGACATAAGAAGTCCCATGTTTCAAAACAAGAGCCGAAAATTTCAATATAATTATTTAAATTAAATTGAGTTAAAATAAGCTCTGTTCCATCTTCAAGGTTCAAAAAAATTTCGCTTGAAGATGGAACAGAGCTAGATTTGGAATCATATTTTTAAATAAATAATTATATTTATGCTCTACTTTTGTATCGAGCACTATTTTTAAAAATAATAACTAAAATACTAAGGGACTTTGGATTATTTACCTAACCAGTTCCTTCCTATTTTCTATATATTTTCACATATTATATATATATATATATATATATATATATATATATATATATATATATATATATTCAAACGTGTTTCATTGAATAATGTAGACATATTTTTATTTATTTATATACTGATCCTTTCCACTTCTCTAAACAATTTTTGTTTATTATTCCCGTGGTGTAGTATGTTGGTGTTTTTTGAAGTTTGGCAGAAATGCGTTTTTCGATATGCAATAGAACTTGTATCCTACTTGTATCTATATGATTCAATGAAACATATTTGAATGAAGATATGCTAAGTGATTAGAACGATTGCATTCTGACATTAATGTTATTGGTATGGAGGGGAGCGACCCCAGTGTGCGGCAATTTTGGAAAGTGCCTGGAAACTATACCACGGGTTAGCCAAAAGCATTGTGAGCGAAATAGGGCAGACGGAAACATTGGGGCCGTCGATAGCTGTGTCAGCAAGATGACACAAGTCATCGTGGCCGAGGGCTTGAGCGTGCTAGCCTTGTTCAAATTGTTGATCACTCTAGATAACACGCTCTTTCCCAGAAACTGTAACTAAGGTCTGCTCAGTATAGTTGCAGTATAAACCACAGGTGGGCCCTGTGGATGTTGAGCAAACACAAATGCGTCTGAACAAGCGTCTGCAATAGGGATCGTTAACCACCCTAGTCGAGGGGCATCCTCTAATACGAGTAGCCATCTATATATATATATATATATATATATATATATATATTATATTTTAGTTCAGATGGTGAAAGATCATATAGATGGAAAGTGAACTCACTACAGTAGTAAAGCCAGCAGATCAACAGTTTGTTAACCATTGGTGGGTAAAGCCATCAAAAGGAAATCCGCCAGTATATAAATGCCCTCAGATATGGGTTAAATAATATGGTAGACTGAGCTCTCTAGTGTTTGGTGGCAACGAGTCTAGGAGAAAGAGAAAAATCTGAATTGAAGACATTGGAGATGGCAACAGGAAACCAACGCACTACCCTTCCCACAGCTAATGAGAAAAGGAATGTGTGGAGAGCCATGAATGAACAAAAAGAAAAGTGGCATATCCACTAATGATGGAGCTCACTACAACTGTAATGGCCAAGTAGATGTACTTGCTAACCACTGGTCCATAGCGAGTCGCCAACATATTTACTAGTCTTTGTCTGGTACAAGGCCAAAAGTGTTAGGGTGCCCAATAAGAACAGAACTCACTACAATAGGAGTTTTATTCATACTTTTTCTAATCTTTTTTACTTTCTTTACGATCTTTCGTTCTCTTTATTTTATGTTTTTATTCTCTTTCTTTCCCTTTTCTCTCTTATTTTTTGCCTTTCTTTTCTTTTTTGTCGTACTTTCTGTCTTTCTCTCTCTCTCTCTCTCTCTTTCTTTCTTTTTCCTTATCTTTGTCTTTCATCCTTTTTGTCTTTTTTACTTTCTTTGTTTCCTTCTCTATTTTCTATCTTTCTTTCTTTCTTTCTCTTTTTATGTTTGATTTTTTCCGTCTTTTTCTGGCTTTTCTTTCTTTCTGGCCTTTTCCCGCGTTACTTTCAGCGTTTTATTCTTTCTTTTATTTACCCTTTATTCATTCATTTCTTTTATATCTTCCTTTCAACCTTTTTTCTCTGGCTTCCTTCTTGTCCACCTTCCTTCCTTCTTTCTTTCTTTCTTTTCTTTCTTTCTTTCTTTCTTTCTTTCTTTCTACCAAACTTCCGGTTTTCTCTCTTTCTTTCATTTATATCTTTCTTCCTTTCCATCCATTTTCTAACTTACATTGTTTCTTTCTTTCCTTTTTTTTCTACCTTTCTGTCTCTCTTTTGACAGTTCTTCCTTTTACCTCTATTTTCACTCACTTTGCTTTTTTTTCTTCTCTTTGGAGATCGATTAAACTGTCTAGATGTATTACTAGATGTTCATCGATCCAAAATTCTTCAGATCTTTCTCAATCGGTTTCTATTATCTACTATAACCCATTCAAATTTATCTCATTTTGTTCATATTTATCTATCAGAGATTATCTATCTATCTATCTATCTATCTCAGTGAATTATTCTCTATCTATCTATCTATTTACTTATCTATCTGCCTGTCTGTCTGATTGGTTCGTATCTATCGATTTATTGAATGCTGTTCATATCTATCTATCCATCTCATATTGTTCATATGTATATATCTCTATCTGTCCATGCATGTTCATGTTAGTGTATATATGGTGGACTCTCCTATCGTGAACAATAAATGAGGGTCAGCATTGGATGGTGCCTTTAATTTTACACTTATGCATACTAGCAGGGGTTATTGTGGAGAAAATCAGGTAAGGGAAAGACATATTTCATTTGTGCTTTCTTAAGTGTGATACTAGCCCAGTTTTGTTGCGGGCGACAAAGCCACACTGACAGATGAAATTTGTTAAAGCAGGATTTTGATGGCGTCTCTGCTTCAGAGCTTGACAAAGCTGATCACGGTGCTTCAGTCTACTGTCTTCAAAACTCTTTAACTTAATGAAACCTGTCTTACGCCACTCCTTTCGGTTTGATGCTTGGGATACCCAGGTTTTCAGATCAAAGTTGAGATGTTTCAATTTGTCTTTGTAGCGTAAGAGTGGATGTCCAACTGAACGCTTGGAGTTTAGTAGTTGTCTATACACCACCTTTTTTTGAAAGCCTAGGTTCATCATTCCATGACAAGCCCACTTAAGTTGTATCTTTGTTAGAATAGTTTGAATGCCTGTGAGGTTGCTACATTTCTTCAGTATTACACTATTCTTGACCCTGCCATCCCATTTTATATCACATACGGCACGAACACTGCGCACGGGAAAGGCATAAAGTTGATTTATATGCTTGCGGTATAGGATCCAATGGTCCGGTGAACGAAATAAAGGGTTCGAATCGAAATTCAAGTACTAACAAATAAGGATACAAATCAACAGTCAACTTTCCATGCTACCAAAAACAAAGGTTCGCTAAGTAACTTTAGAAGTATTAGAAAGATCTATAACATTTAGTGGACTCCAGAAATATATTTCTCTTACTTTCATTATTCGGACTGTTATCCTCATCTTCATTGCCTAATTCACACTAAAGAGAAGGGTTGAGAGAACGACTGATCTGTATATGTCGATCTTTACTCTGAGAGACACGTCTTTGGTGTTCCATAACCTCTGTTTAAGCTTACCAAATGGTGTGCTGACTTTGGCTATTGTTCATCGGATTTCTCTGTCCATTTTTCCATCAGAAGAAATTGGTGAGCCAAGATATGTGAACACTGCAACAGATTTTAATGCCGTGCCATCAATGAATGCTGAAGGATTTGTGAGTGTGTATATATATATATATATATATATATATATATATACTCACAAATCTTTCCGTATTCATTGGTGGTACGGCATTATGGTGTATATATATATATATATATATATATATGATACTGTTCATATCTATCTATCTGGTTGATGCTGTTCATATCTATCTATCGATGTATCTGATACTGTTCATATGTATTTATCCTTATTTATCTATCAATCTATCTATGTGATTTTTTCCATGTATATATACATACATATATATATATATATATATATATATATATATATATATATACATACATATATATATATATATATATATATATATATATATATATATATATACATCTGATACTGTTCATATATATATCTGAAACTTCTCATCTATTTCTCACTCTCTCTCTCTCTCTCTCTCTCTATATATATATATATATATATATATATATATATATATATATATAAGATTAATACAAATAAATTTAGTCAGATGATTGATGTTACATTCACCATCTCAGCTCTGGAGTTTCGTAGACAAACCGGTTTTGTAATTGTTCAGTCCACTCGTCCTGAAGTTTCATCAATTATAAGAAGACACACGCTATTTGAAGACTTCCAGCAGCAGTAACAACAAAAATGGGTTACACATCTAAGAGATAAAATCTAGGAGATAAAATAAGGATATAAATCAACAGTAAACTTTCCATGCTACCAAAAACAAAGGTTCGCTAAGAAGCTTTAAAAAGTATTAGAAAGATCTATAACATTTAGTGGACTCCAGAAGTATAATTTTTCTTACTTTCATTATTCGTTCTGTTATCCTCATCCTCATTGCCTTATTCACAAGGTTTCGGCCGTTGAGCGTACCGGCCTTCTTCAGGTGATCGAAATTTCGATTCGTTCACCGGACATAAGGCACAGTTGAATGAAGGCATTAGTTAGATCTAGTGACCAGACCCCAAAAAGTTGTGAGTTCGATATCAGTGGTAAACCAAAAAAGTTGGAGAGTTGATTTAAAGGGAAATAACTGAGACATCCGGTATTAGAACAATCTACCCCGCTGGACGAAATAATGGGTTCGGTTCGAAATTCCAATCATCTGAAGAAGGCTGGAGCGTACAACGGCCGAAACGTTCTGAATATGGCAATGAAAATGAGGATTTCAGAGATATAGACAAATATAATTTTCCTGAAAAACGGTTTAAGAAAAGATTGTATAAATGGTATCCGACGGTAACACTAATATTCGTCCAGTGGATGTTGAATATTTGCCGTATGGTAGCGGTTAATTTTGCCATTTTCATTAACCTCCTAAAGCACATAGAGAGATACAAATTAAAAAGGGGTACATTTGGTACAAAGTAGCTATAAACCCGACAATACCCTGGTATCAAATGGAACATTACTAGAGAAAAACAGATATTAGAGACTTTTTAATGTCTGCTGTTAATATTAAATTTGCTTTGACAATCTTCCATAGAAACACAAAAACATTAACGTTGTAAATATTTATCTGTAATATTAAAGCAAATTTGTTGGACAGAAATTCTACTGGACAAACATATCCCATAATTCTACGTCTCCACATCAAAATTTAAAAGCAGTTTTTTTTTCTTTTTTTTTTTTTAGTGGAACGTCCTGTGCAGAAAAAGAAAAATAAATGAATTAATAATGACAATTTCAACTCACTATCAATAATTTTTTTTTTTTATGAGTAAAGAAACTTAAATAATTTTTCCAATTTTTCCTATCTGCCTACCAATTCGGCTATCTACCACTGTCTGTTGCATCTTTATTTTCTTAATCTACTTATACCAATCTGCATAAATCTATATCGGTGCTTGTTTGTTGGTATCTATTTATCTTTGTTTATTTTCCCTTATTTAATCTACACATATCTCTCTCTATCTCTCTCTCTCTCTCTCTCTCTATATATATATATATATATATATATATACTTTTTAGTTTATTCAAATCTATCGGTATGTTCATCTCTCTCTCTCTCTCTCTTTCTCTCTCTCTCTCTCTCTCTCTGTGTGTGTGTGTGTAAAATGAGAACGAATAGAGTACAATTCCAACGTAATATTTAATTTAAAAGAGGGCCCAATACAAAGTAGAACAATATTATTTATTTTAGGGTATTACTTCGAAAAATGTCGAAATGGCTACACAATTGCAGTCGTTTTTCGATGCGTATCGAAACACAACTGCAATTGTGTAGCAATTTTGACATGTTTTCGGTGTAATATCCTAATATATATATATAGTAATGATACAATATAGTAATCCGTATGGAATTTCCAGGAGGATATACATCCAGGGAGATTTCTATGTAAAAAAAAAGAGCAATATTATTATTAATTAAAGAATATCAAACGCCTAAAATCCCATAGGTAATAATTTTTTATTTCATGAGAGCTCTAAAAACAGCAGCTGTCAATCGTCAAGACCTACAAACAGATCACAAATGAAATGGGAAAAAAAGATTCCGGGTTAAATACAAGAGATATTGCTATTTTCTTTATAGAATAGGAAAAGTGTTCACCTATTTTGATCTATTCTGACTTCAATATAACATTTGAGGATGGTGGAAGGGCTTAAAGTGTCTGTTAGTTCATCATGAATCTGAAACATTCCCGTCCCTTTCTGTCAACGGGCCAAATTTTCAATTCTGACATATTCCATTCATCAACTTATTTGTAAATAATATTAAAAGAGAACATTTTTAAAGATTTCGAAATTAGCGAAAAAACTTTCCTAAGCTTTTTATATAATTAACCAAGAAATTTTAATTAAAATGTCTAAAAACTTTGAATTAAATGATTATTAATTATATTCAAAGAAACATATAGTATGTAGAGTATCTTAGGTGTATTTATTAAGATTTAGAATGTACTTTAAC